CACACACACACACATGCACATACATTCTCCTGTCTATTGATGGGGAGCGCCACCTATTGGAAACTGGGTCCAGCGTCCCATGAACATCGTTAATGAAGCACCAACCGGGACCGCACACGCACTCTCTTCGAGTTATATATAGCGAACATGACAAAACATACATATAGCATCACTACCTTACCCTTCCCGAACCACAAAAACAAACGAACTACGGGCTGCGCACCCGTGCCCTCACGGTAAGTCAATATCATCCATGTAACACCTCTAACACCTCTAACACGCCTTATGCCTCTCCCCCCCCCTGGCTTTCCACAACCCCTTCATAATTGCCCTCAACATCCCCCATATCCTCCCTGTTGTGCTCCTATGCCCCTCTGTGCCCCCCCCCTTTCCAGGAGTTTCCCACCGGATTTGGGCTGTCCTCAGCAAGCGCAGTGCAGCCCCAAGCTCAGGTAAAACTAAGTCAGTGAATGGCCCCCTTGAGACGAGTTGGCGAACCGCTGACCAATTGGCCCTACCGTTAGGCTGCAGAATGGCCGGCTCTTGTCATCAGCAGCAGGCTGTAAAATTACCCTGATTTGCATCTGTTATTCCTCCGCCTGTTTTGAGGTGCACCCGAAACATGCACATGTTGAAGCGTTGTGAAAGTTGAAGTATGCCTTTTGGTGAACTCCTGTTTCTCAGTTGAGAGCTGAGAGTAAAATGGGACCTTAGGGTGTACTCACTCGCCTTTTGGTGAACTCCTGTTTCTCAGTTGAGAGCTGAGAGTAGAATGGGACCTTAGGGTGCACTCACTCAGTTTTTTTGACACATCTGATTGTGGTTTTGATGGCATTCAGTGCATTAAGTGGCAGTGTGAGTATGCCTTCATTGAGTCATCCATTCTGTCTACAGCTAGCTATTTATGGCCAGCTGCATATGCTCAACTAGCAAGGGCTGGAGTACACATGCTGAAGTTTTGGGGAACTCCGGTTTCTCAGTTGAGAGTTGAGAGTAGAATGGACCTGAGGGTGCAATCACTTAGTTTTCTTGATGCATCTGATTGTGGTCTCAATGGCATTCAGTTCAGTAAGTGGCAGTGTGAGTATGCCCTCATTGAGTCATCCATTCTCTCTACAGCTAACTATTTCTGACCAGCTGCATATGCTCAACTAGCAACGGCTGGAGTACACATTTGTGGACGAGTACGCATTTGCTCGCTGACATCTGTGCTGCTTAATATTCGAGAAAGCCGATTTCATAGCATTCACTTAATGTGCTCCCCAGAGAATTGCAGGACTGCCTGGCTGATATCTCTCTCACTGCAACACTTGTACTTTCTGTCACAGCTGGGCTATAGAATTGGCATTGCAGATGGCCCAGATGCCTGGCCACAGAGAAATATTAGGAAAACTGCTTCTCATTGATGCATTGGCTCTCATACATGTGCAGGTATACATTCAACGATGCTTAGCGATGGTGAGGAAGGGCGAGTCTGTGATACCGTCTTTGAGACTCCTGAGGGAAATCATCTTACTGGACCCTGAACGACCTTTCTATCAGGTAAAGGTGCATCTTTTACTGCTGCTGGGCTGGCTGGCTATTCAGCTCTTTTCATCTGGAATCTGCACACATTGTACCTGCATTTGCGTAGCATTGGTTGATGATGGTTGCTGTGATGAGGGTTTGGAGCCACTGAAGCATGTGCACACCTTTATGTGGTATTAGTTATAATGGATATCATTCTGGTATCTGCCATGGATAGCCTTTGGGGTGACAGCTTTGACAGTGTGTGAGAAATAGTTCAATGTATCTAATCCCCAACGGCCCCCAGGGTCCTATCCAGGCCCAAGGGTGAGTACCTGTCGGGATAGGCCCGGATAACATTTGGCACTTTCTTCAAGGTTTGGATTATTTCTTCCAACGGAATTGTCAAAATGAGGTAATTATTGTTACTGCGGATGCGACGCTCATCTGCAACTTGAACTTGTATTGAAACTGCTGTGGCTTATAAAGTTGTGTGTTTTCAAGTAAAAGGCAATCACTGGCTGTGGGTCAGTGGTTAGGTCACCGGTTGGAAGGCATATTGTGGTCTGAGGTTGCGGGCTCTAAATTCCACACACGCATGCAGGGACACCGGCGGGCATTTACATAATGCACATCCATTTCCACACCCACCTTGGGCTGACACATGGTAATGATTACAGACACTGCCTGCGCACCACCCAAGGGGTTTAGTCCATGGTTGTTGTACGTTGGGTTTAGTCGAGTTTCACCTGACCTTCTTGGTCCATGGGGTTGTCCGGGTGATTGTTGGGTTGAATACCTGATAAATAAAAAGAGTTTGGGGAAACTGGTCACATAGAATTGGTTGCTGGACGCATGGGCTACGGGTGGGATTCAATCATGGACTCCGCTGTGGGGAGGGTAGGTAGGACAAGAGTCCGCTAGAGGATATCGGTTGGGAACCTGCAGTAGGGGATGTCTTAGGGGTCCCATTAGTCGGGAGAGGTGGGATAGGATACAGTGGAGGATATCGTTGGGGAACCTGCCGTAGAGGCTGTCTCATGGGGCAAGGGTTGTCTGCGTGGAGAACACAGTAAGATTAGAAGAGTCCAGAGTAGGTCCAGTTGATGATAGAGGTGGGGGAGCGGATGGTGGCCGTCAACCGACTGAGTACGGAAATTAGAGATACTGAGGACAGACCCAGTTGATGATAGAGGTAAGGGGAGCAGATGGTGTTCATGAGCCTGCTGAGGACAGAAACTGGAGATGCTCTAAGGAAGAACTACCTTGGATATGAGAGGGTTCAATGACATAGGATTCAAGATAATAACCAGAGGGATCTGATGATGATAAAGCTCGGATCTCTCTAACAAGGGAAAAAGGGTTCGCCTATGGGGCTTGTAGTAGAATGTCTACCCCTAGCACTCGGAAGTACCCGTACGACAGGGCTCGTCCGACTATGCTTCAATCAGGGCCGGGGAGGGAGGTGAGAACCTGCTTAGCCCTGATGCCTATAACCACTGTCCGGTCAGGTCACTAGAAAAGGTCGACGATCCTGGGTGATAAAAACACTAAGGTAGGACCTTGGGAGTAGGGATGCGCTGCGGACAGTAATGATGTGTAAGGGTGGGAGGGAGTCTCATGGGGGGCCTGTATAGAGGAATGATGTGGATGGTCAATTGGCCAACTGCTGAAGGGACTGTCATATGCACGGTGACTACTCTACTACAACCTGGGGTCCAGCTCAGTTGGTAGACCACCGGGTCTAACTTAGTTGGTAGACCAACAAGTGTTGGAATACAGAGCAGAGCAGTGTTGCACACCCCGACCGTCGGTGACCCTTGAGTGGTCGCCTGCCGACCTGTCGACCGGTCAGCTGATCGGCACGTACTGATCGGGGGTTGTCAGCACCCCGCAAAAAAAGAAAAAAAAAAAAAAGAAAAAAAAGAAGGTCAGCTGATCGGCACCTACTGGTCGGGGGTTGTCAGCACCCTGCAAAAAAAAAAAAGAAAAAAAGGT